GCTTGCTCACCCCCCACCTCCCACTTCCTTCCTCCCCCCGCTCCCAAAGGGATGGGGAGGAGAATCAGAGGAATGTAACTCCCACCGGTTGAGATAACAACAGTTCAGTAACTAAGGTATAATACAAACCACTACTGCTACCACCAATAATAATAATGATACGGGAAATAACAAGGGGAGAGGATACAATTGCTCACCACCCGCTGACCGATACCCAGCCCAACCCGAGCAGTGATCTGGGCCTTCTGGGTGACTCCCCCCAGTTTATATACTGGGCATGACGTGCTGTGGTATGGAATACCCCTTTGGCCAGTTTGGGTCAGGTGTCCTGTCTCTGCTTCCTCACGGCTTCCCCTTCTCTGTGGCAGAGCATGAGACTGAGAAAGTCCTTGGTCAGAGTAAACATTACTTAGCAACAACTAAAAACATCGGTGTTATCAGCATTGTTCCCAGGCTGAAAGTGAAAAACACAGCACTGCACCAGCTACTAAGACGGAGAAAAATGACTGCTGTAGCTGAACCCAGGACACATCTGTTGGTTCATCAGTAAGCAGTATTTATCCTCATGTTACTAAAACTATACCTTGGATAAACAAATAACAAGCAGGCCAAATATTTTTTTTTTTCTGTTAGTTCAGTATTATGCCTCTCCTTACTTACTTTGTTAAGTAGGGTAATTCCCACTGTTATAGAGGACCTTATAACTTATAAAAGTAAGTAAAAATTATCCGTAAAATAGGAGAATGAATAAATTGAATAACATTCGTATTGAGTTGTATTAAATAGTCATGCATCTTTTTGAGAGAGAGTCAGAGAAATTGCTTTTCTGAGTAAATACAGCATTATAGGTTGCTGTAGACTAATTGAGGTAAGAAGTTGTTCTACAGATCAATAAATTGTTTCTGTACTACAGTGACGGGTAAGCCGTATAGTTTATTGAAAGAAAGGTGAAGATCACTTACATGTATTTCAACAGTGTTTCAATTAGTGTAAAGTCCTGCTAAGTGGTATGACTGTCCTATGCAGTATCCTATACAGTACGTTAACTGGAAAAAAGTATTAATGTACTCATTTGATGGGCTAAGTGAATGTATCTGAGTGGATTTTGACATAGACTTGACAACCAAATCAACCTTTACAGAATCTTTATCCATAAGCCACTGAGCAGTTTCTCTAGAATAATTTAGAGCATCTCCAAGACTGAAATTTCTGTTTTACAAGAGCTCCTGGAATGCTGCAATGCTGGAAGTGTAGGAACAAACTGTTCAACTCGGGCAGATTTGGTGAAACAGATTTGATACAGATTGGTACCTGATCCTCAGGGCTCCTAACTTCACAAACAATTTTTAGAGTGTTGAGAGAGACTCATAGCTTACAAAAGCGAATCATGAATTCACAGTATGCACATCCCCCATTTTTTTTAATGTCCTATCCAAATTTATTCAATGCCCAAGGAGATGTTCAACTGAGCCTTTAGATGGTTCATCTACTTTCCAGTAATAAAGTTTACAAGAATTTAATCTTTATGAAGAACATCTACAATTTCCACCTCCAGTCTAAATGAATGTCTATAATACATTTTATATAACCTTCGTGTTGCTGAACTTCATCGTTTATGCATTCGTTGTTTTTAGATAATGCTGTTTGAAATTATCTAATTAGCTCTTGTCTGCATGAGACATCTTCAGTCTGTCTCTGTGAAGCAGTGGTAAAATACTTGTTGAGAGACATTTCTGACCTTATGATCTAAAAGTTTTTATTTTTTTAACAGTTTTCACTCCATCCATTTAAGAAAAAAAAAACCAAAAACAAAAACAAAAAACCAAAACAAGCCAAAAAACCCAAAACCATTTTGGTTTTACAAATACCAACAGATAATTAGTGGGTGATTTCAGATATTTGTTTTACTTGAACTTTTAGTATTTCGGAATGTTCAAAGCTGGTATCAGTAAGATGATTTCTGAAACAGATGGCTAACACTTGGGGTGTGATCGTAAAGCAGAGTGTAGTGTCATGTGGTTATATTTGAAGTAGCTTGACTATTTGGAAGTGTCTGATTAGTTCACCCTATCATATGGGTTATATCACTTCCAGTTCCCAAAGTGGCTTGATTATATAACATGTTCTTTGTGGCCTCTGCGTAACATATTTGTTGTAGCTTCAACCTTTTCCTTTTTCGAATGCATCAGTCAGAGCAAAAGTGTCAGAAGACCACATTTTGCATTTATTTTAACAATAAGTAAATTCCCAAAAGAATCTCATACCATCATTATAATTTTATGTATCAAATAAAGCAACCAGTAATATGACAGTGTCAGTTGACATCATCTGTAAGTATGAAGCACTGCAACAGAAAACAGAGCATTTATTTGGAAATTTGTGAAGATGGCTTCTTTATGCATATCGAATAATTACATCAGAGGATTAACTATGTGTTGCAATTGCCTCAACTACTAAGCAATTTTCCGGTTACATTGGTGTTGGTATTTTCTTTTTTGCATAAAAAATTACACTCTTTTTATGGTTCTGCTGGACATTTCTTCTTTCCCTTGGGATTTCCCTAATGCATGGTAACTTACTTTTCATTTTCCTAACAAACCTCCCTTTCATTTTGGACTAATTAAGTTCAGTGCACTTGTTTATACTTCTCGTGCTACTATTTGTTTATTATTATTATGCACTAGTATTACAAAACCAACTCAAGACTATAAATAGGCTTAAGAACCATTGTGTGAGGAAATAGACAAATTTGGAATAAAATCTTCCACTTACTAACAGGTGTCTAAAGTTACTTTTTAGTGATAACATCCATTTCCTCTGCATCTTCAACATCTGTAGGTTCATAATTTATTCAATGTATCCAACAAATAGTGTTTTTTCTGCTATAATGCAGATTTAATATCAGAATTCAATATAAATTTTGCCTTTCTACATACTTATTGAGGGCACCGCTGCCATCATGCTAGCCTGTTTTAACTTAGTAACATGGCCCACTGTCCTGCACCTCAGTATTGCAGTATTGCACTCAGGATCAAAGAAGGCCAAAGAGGAACATAGAAGAAACTCTGTAAAGTTTCAGAAGGTATATAATAACAGAAGTTATTTTGCGCTATTCTCTGTGTTGGTGTTTGGCCTCTGATGTAAACTGTGCAGATTGCTGAGGAGGGATTTGAATGGGGGATTGTTTGGCAGGGGGAGTTTGGTATCTATTAAACAAGTATTCCTCTTTTCAGTGCTGGTAGGTTTCAACATCCCTGTTGTGTTACAATGCTGGCATTATTGCAGGAAAATTCTTTCAGTCATCTTTCTGGCCTAGTTTCAGTCAGAAATTGCAGTTTAATCAGATTCTGTCTGCCACATTTTTTTCCTTGTGGTACCTTTTTGTCCCCCAGGCAACTTTGTACCTGTTAGGAAATTTAGTCCAAAAGGAGAGAGGCAGTTAAGAAAATTAGCTTTCAAAAAGTATTTTGTTTTCTAATGATTAAACAAACAGGTTAAAAAAAAAAAAAACAAACAACAAACCCAAACCTGAAAGGAAGTCATAGTTGTTATGGGTGCTTTTTATGAGCATGATTTTACAATACTTTTATGTATCCATTTCCTGGGTTTAGGATAACCCATTATGTTCATTTTCCTTTACTGTGGATGCCAGTTCAAATTCGTGTACAAAGGCTTTTGCGTAACAAAAACACTGTGAAATTGTAATGCTAAAATATTGAGACTTACTACATTTTTCTGTAGAAAAAAAATATGTAAGTGTTACAAAATGTTGATGCAATGTTGCAAAACTGATCAGATTTCAGAGAAAAGTGAATATAACATAGAAAGATTTTCCAGTTCAGAAGTACTCATGTGATGGTAAATTGGTGAAGATAAATATATTTTGGTTATGGAGAAGATTAGATTTTCAAAAATGCTGGTGTGAAGTAAGCTTCAGAATTAATTTTTGTCATATGTAAAGAACAGGAAAAATAGCTTTGAAAACCAAAATCCTGCATTAGGTAATTTGGATTTTGAATAGGGAATGAAGGCATCCAAAGTAAAATACAATTACCTTTTAAATTCTTTCAGGAATCGAAATTAGCTGATAGGGTTATTTGTCAGTTTTGCATATGAAATATTCTTTCATTTACTTACTCAGAAGTGTATCAATCACATAACGGTTCTCTAATTTAGTTTGACTACAAAATGTCCAAACTATTATGTTGTTTTTTCTTCCCCCTCAGAACATTATCAACTGTATGTTCCTGAATCAGCTCAAGTTGGATCAGCAGTTGGCAAAATCAAAGCAAATGATGCAGACACTGGTTCAAATGCAGACATGAAGTACACAATTATAAATGGTGATGGCTCTGGGGTGTTCTCTATATCTACTGACAAAGAAACAAGGGAAGGAATTATTTCCCTGAAGAAGGTAAGCAATAGTCTTTGAAAGTTCCCTGTGTATATAACTAAAATATAATGATAAATGCTGCATAAGCAAATACTATGATCAAAATGCTGTGTAATCCTATTGAACTGTGAATTTCAGCAGTGTAAGCTTCTTCACATTGCTTCTGGATACACTTTAAATCTTTGCAGGTGAGGCAGGGAGAAAAATTCAATGAAAGAAACAGTTATTTAAATCTTTTGTGCTTTTTGAATAGTCATATCTAATATAATAAACTAAATAATACTGAATTTTTTGTTAAGATAGTTTAATTCTTCTCTATGATGGTTTTGCCCTTTAAATTTCCTTGAAAGAAAGTAAAATTTGGCTGAAAGTTGTACTGTTGTCCCCAAACTGTATGACTCTCAAAAATTTTATCTGTGGCAACAAATGTATAATTCAGTTTTCATAGATGGTCATTCTTTGACTTACATGACAGCTGGCTTCTAAATTGTCCAGTACTGTGTACTGTATAATGTAAATACCAGCTTGCTTATAAAGGTTCAAAATGTAACTGATCAAGCCATCACACAGGTATCATTTTTATGACATTTTATCCCAGTCTATTTGAACTATTAATTTTAATGCACAAATCTACTTCCATAGGTAATTTCATCTTCATATTAGGTCCCTTAAACTGAGTTCATATTAACATTTCCCTAAGTTTCTACCAATTTATGCTAATACTTTACGCTTAGATTTAAGTTTACATTTATAATAACCCAGGGAAATGGGTTATTATATTTAAGTACTGTTTTTTAAACATCCTTTCCAACAAAAGGAAATTACCCAACAATCACTTCTTCATTTCATTTTTCACTTGGACTGACAGACATCAGGTAGCAATTCTTACATGGATTTGTCGTTAGTAAGTTTTGTAGACATCAATTATATCCATACAGCCTAACAAATAGAAGGATATTTGTATTCATATTTGCTAATATGTATTCTGGATCTGATTAATGGTAGGAGCAATGAAATCAGAGAAAATGTGGGAAAAGAGCATAAATAAATATTATCATAAAGAGTGCTGGGTTTTTCACTTCTGGGTAGATATGTATGTATTTATGGTTTAACTTTTTTTAAAAGATTTTGTAAGTGAAGGAAATCAGATTTTTCAAATTCATAATGATTTTAAAATTATTCCTATATCTCTGCATTATCTTAAAAAGTTTTAATGCAGTGTCATTTATAAAGGTTGCACAGTACCCAGCTGCTTCAGCCACATGGAAGTGAACTCTGTCTTTTTTATACCACCGAACTTATTTCCTGGTGGTGTTGAGTTAGCTAATGCCATAATCTTGCTTCTTCTTTAAAATGAGCACTGTTGTCTGTTTAAAAGTTCATTGTGACTGTTGTTCATTAAATACAACATTTATGCATATACTGAACATGAAGCAGAAAGGAAGAATTTGGAACAAAATGAGTGTCCACACATAAAAATGTGTAAAATTACATTTCTTACTGATTTTGGCAGACAAAATAGCTTTAGAGAAATTTTCACTGTTTTAGAATATGACAAAAGCATATGTTGTCTGTTCTTATACGTACACATGACAGTGATTTGAGTCATTTTCCCATCAAGGCAGGAAGGGGTATATTTTGCTCAGGTAATACTCTATTTCAATTGACCAGAAATTCAGTACTTAAAGTTCATAAATTCCTCGGAGAAGTTATAATATCCCTTTGTACAGTACAAAAAAGTGATCTCATTTTTTAAATTGCTTTTTTTACTCAGATCTTGTATGCAGTTTAATAAATATTTTGTGTACTTTGTGCTGTATATAAAATTATATATTT